TACAATACAGATTACAATATTGATGGTTGATACTGTTACATTATTATAATTTTTCAATTTTAAATAAGGCTGACATCTGTCATTTTTAGACAACTACCGTAAGTTACACTGACTGCTCTGACACAACATCCGTCCTAACATGTCAACAATGTCATTTTGATCAGTTTGTTATCAACAGTCCTCGTAGACACTTCGTCTCAGGACCATTTTACTTATGTAGAGTCATACGCCTCCATGTTACCTATCCAACGGTAACTTAAACATCACAAATTATAACTATTAATAATGTAACACAACTACAAACTTAAAACATTTAAAGGGTTTTGGCCCATATATTTTTGGTGGCTACTAGCATGTACAACCGTAAGTATTAACCACATTTTGCTCTAACCTTTGTCAACATTTTAATTTAACGTTCTTTTTAATTAAAGTGGTTATATACTTTCAGGTTTGCACTGATGATGGATTTATCATGCAATCCAAAAACGTTTTGCAATGTGTTTGTGATAGCCCGTTTGGGGCTTTTTTATATACCTTTTATAAATGATTTTAAACAATTTTTTGTGATATATGGTATACAGCCAGCTACAGGAACTTAGTTTCCTAGTGGAACTTTTTAATAATTCCTATGAGATATGGAACATCTCGAATTTTGAATTCATTGTTTTAGAAACCACATTTACTCAGAGAAATAATAATTTGTGTACTACCTTCTATAGTACAGCATGCGGTTGTGAATAAACGCGCAAATAAACAAGCAAACAACCAATCAAATCTAATATTTTAATCACACCATTTATCTTTAGGTTTGTCAACGGTATTTCAAAATATTTGCATATTATTGACTCTATATTGTGCAGTAGAAGTGAATGCCTGTGACACTTGGCATAAACCATGAGACGTGTTCACGATAGTCTTGATGAACTACAAAGCTATATAAACCCTACCCTCCTTATAAAATACTACAATAAAAATAGATTATTGTGTATTAAAAAAATATAAATTTCGATAACTATCCAATATAGTAATTGATTTTTCTAGTAGTTTTCATGAAAGTCGAATTGGTGAGTTGAGATTATTGTCTAGTTATGAATAATCTTCTTTATTCTACTTAATAAGATAGAATAGAATAGATGTATTTCCTGAATTGGAAAAGAAATTCCCATACGCCAGTTTTTCCTTTAATGATATTGTTGATTTATAGTGCTTTTTAAACTTTTTATACTCACTATCTTCCTTTGTAATATCAGCAATTATCTTGACTGTAGAAAAATTTTCACGCATTACCATTAGTTCATCATCAAACCAAGAAATGGGAGCTCTACTATGAGCTCGTGATTTTTTTATTGGAAAATTAATTTCAGTTAACTTTACATACATTTCGGTACTAAATTGGGGTAATTCTGTTGCTGTTTTGAGAGAAACAATTGAAGCCCAGTAAACGTTATTTAACGACTGTTTTAACATCAGGATGTCAGTGCTTGTTATAAGTCTTCTGTATGTATTAAATTTATTTTTTAAATTTATTCTGTATATATTAAATCTTCTGTATGACACTCTTGTGGGCGCTTTGTTTACTTTCATATTTATGTTAATGTCACCAAGTATCATTAAATTTTCATATTTTTTATAGGCGAAATCAATTAAAGCATATAATTTAGCTTTGAAAACAGTAATATCCCCATTACAGGATCGATAAAATGCAATTATCAGAAAACGATTATTTTTAATTTTAACACCACAGAATTCAGCATTCAATGGTTCGCAAAATAAATTCATAGTCAGAAATCTGAATAATATTAATTAATCTGAAATAAATTTACTTCTATTTATCTAAAAACTATATAAATTGGTCTATAAATAAAAACGTTATTTAAGATTAAAATTGATTGGTATTTCAAGACGGCACTTTTTTAATGCCGTAGAATGGGGTGACTTTGATTCTGTAAGGTGACTTTGATAAAACATGAATATTTTGTGTTCAAGAGAGTATACAGCCCAAATGTTTCGTCCGTTATGGTGGTTGTCTGAACTTTATTTCAGTGCACATGTTGATTCACTATAGCAAAAGGTGTTTGTGGCCAATATCAAAAGTATAACGGTTGTAAATTCACCATTGAAGTTTTGTTTGAATTTGAAGATTTTATATTGTGTTACTAAATTTAAACATACAGCTCTCACAATAGAATTGCAGGTAATTTTGTGTATGTTGCCTTAATATAGGTCTAGTTGTCACTATTTTAAAATATTTAAACTAACTTATTTCCGTAACCACTCCATGAAATTGAATGATTTTCACTTTGATACATTTTTCGGGGTGACTTTGATACTTTATTTCTTTTTATAGTTTGCTTAATAAAACTTCAAACCGTTAATTATTTTCAGGATTTCGTCATTATCTGCATGAAAAGAAAAAATGCCGCGAGTTTATAAACGAAAGTTGGGATCAAGAAGCTACAAGAACTTCTCTGACGAAACTCTTGAACATGCTCTGCTTCAAATAGGAAACGGAAAATTGTCTGTTAAAGCCGCTTCAGAAAGATTTAAAATTCTGTATGGTACTTTATATAATAAATACAAAGGGAAGCATGTGAAGAAGCCAGGGGCAAAACTGCGTTGACGGAGCTGGAGGAAAAATCAATCGTGTCCTGCATTGTCAAATGTGCAGATTGGGATTTCTATTATCGACGCTAGATGTACAACTTTTCACTAAGAGTTATTTAGAAAGAACTGGAAGAATTATCTCTAAATTTAAAAACGGGGTAAGTCCTTGGTAACGACAGGGTAAAACTTTTTTTAGAGAGACATAGTCAGCAAATCTCTGAACGACTTGCGTCTAACATTACTAGAGCTCGGGCAGGTGTCACAAAAGAAACGATAGAATCATATTTCAATAATTTAAGAACAACTCTTTCAAATTGCCCTCCATCACACGTTTTCAATTACGATGAAACCAACGTTAGTGATGATCCGGGGAAAAAAAATTGCTTTATAAAAGAGGGACTAAATATCCAGAACAAATCACTAATCATAGTAAAGCCGCCACATCAATAGTGATGTGCGGTGCTGCTGATGGTACACTACTCCCTCCTTATATAATATATCGCAGCGAACATTTGTGGGATGCATGGACATTAGGAGGTCCACAGGGCTCTCCTTGTTGTAGTAGTGGATATTGCGCAAGAGGAGCTAGATATAACCGAACAAAAAATGGGTGGATGGAGGTAACTTGTTTTACAGACTGGTTTGAGACCATATTATTACCCCCACGCAAGACGGCTGGAAGGTAAAAAAGTTATGATCGGCGACAACTTGGCGTCTCACTTTTCAGATCATGTTTTAGAATTGTGTGAATTGCACAATATTGAATTTGCGTGCCTTCCCAGTAATTCAACACACATATGCCAGCCTTTGGATGTGTCTTTTTTTAAACCCATGAAAGTCTCTTGGCGAAAAGTTTTGACGAATTTAAATTGCGACACCCAAAAATTACTGATGTACCTAAAGATCAATTTCCGTCGTTATTAAAAAAATGCTTGGAATTAATGGATCAGACAATTGCAAAAACTAAGTACAAATGGGGAGATTGTGAAAAAAAGTGCAATTAAGAGAGTTTTGAAGAATGGGTTCGAGGCTTGTGGCATGGTCCCTTTTGATCCAAATAAAGTCTTGAGTAAGATTACACCAATCAACCATGATGTTGATTACGTAGAACCTCTGATTAACGACAGCCTCACAGACTATCTGATGAATAAGAAGTCCGAGATAGAAGTTACTAAACGGTAAAGTAAAAAGAAACTTCATATCCAACCTGGTAAAAGTGTAAGTTGACATATAACGGCAGATGACAGCTCCTCCGATAGCGAGTTAAACAGCTATAATAGTGAAAGCGAAAATGAAATTGAAAATGAAGATTCTGTGGAGGACCAATCATATGAAGATGAGATGAATACAAAACCCTCCCTTGCTGAATTGAATGTTGGAACTTACGTGCTTGTAAAAATTATGTCAGGTAAACAAAAATGTAAAAATTACGTATATGCCCGGAAGGATACAGAGAAATTACCTTTTGACGAATACGAACTCATTGGACTTAAATCACTGGATGAGACCCATAAACATTTTAAAGTTGTGGAGACCGACGTTTTTAACGCTCCTTTCGATGATATCTTAGCAATTCTGAAGACCCCATCGGTTGAAACAAATGAAACAGCAACTACATGTACATTTCCTGGCAGAGTTGATGTTAAAGAAAAATAACTTTGATTTTGTTTCCGTTCAAAATACATTCTTTTGGCTTTTTTTACTATTTTTATACTGTTTTAACTAATTTGCTAAAATGTTTTTTACCTGAATAAAGTAATAGCTACCTGTAAAATTATTTATTATATACTAATTATTGTGCCTATAGCAGCTGTCAAAGTCACCCACAAAAATTAAAATTGAAATATCTAAAAATTGGCTTGATCGATTTAAAAATGGGTTGACATTGACACCATTACAGCTTTTATGCATCGTCCAAGCTATTTTAAAATAGGGTATCAAAGTGACCCCACATCAATGGGTGATTTTGATATACCATTACTTATTTTTTTTGAGAAAATCCTCAATTTAAAGATATATCTACCAACAGTATAAATTACATAAACATAAGATGAATCCTAATGGACATTTTTCCCACATTTTTGGAATCACCCATTCAAAAGTTACGTAAGAAAATATAAAAAAAAAATTAACAAAGTCACCCCGTTCTACGGTGCCTCATTATATTAACAGAAAATATCACCGGGTGTCTAAAATCTCTTTTAAAAACCGTCAACCCTAAAAGGGTTAAAAATCATAATAATATTTCGTATTTGTACCTTCCCAAAATTCGTCGAAAATTATTTTAAAATTGTAGCAGCGGTGATATAAAAGAGTGCATAATGTAAAAGCAGTATCCCAAAAAGTAGTTTTAAAGTGAACCGCTTTCGGTTGAATGAAATCACACGAATATTTACCTGCAGGAGACGACACAAATTCCACAAAAAGGTCCTGAGATGTGCCAATAATGGAGTACGGGAATTTGCCCATTCCGCAGAATGTGCCAATAACGGGACTGAACTCGTTTTTTCCATCGTAGATTTTTATGTAATCGTACGGACAGTTTTCTTCGCCTGAAAAAAGAGACAGAGTTATGTGCCAGATCCAACAGGAAATTACTGTAATGGATTATCTCCACATAAAAGATATTTCTAATGTATTATAAAACATGAAACGACGTTTAAGTTTTTAAGAACTTAATGGTTTATGTCTTATATCTTACGACGAAGTGCTAGAAAATTACGAAATAAAAAAAAAGTATTAACTGGAGACAGATGTCTTTGCCGGTGGCATCTAACTAGCTCTTTTAGATAATATTTCCTTAATTATTTTCATCACAAATTAAAGTTCTTCTTAATTTTTCGTGTTATAAAAATATCTTGTATGTCAATTGAAAGTAAACACTACAATATACAGGGTGTCGCATAATTAATTGGATATCATCTAATGGGTGATAGCTGACATCAAAATTAAGCGTTTGAGCTCAAATTGCTTAAGCAAAATGTTGCTACTTTTCGTTCTACAGGATGATTAATTAATATTTTTTTAAATAATTGATGGATTCGACCGTTACTTGATGGAAATTCATTTTATGTAACTATTGTGTATAGTCGTGTCAGTATGGGAAGGTTTATGAAATATGGAGAAGTCATGTTTGTTTTGAAGTCTGCTAATTTTTAAATCTAAAAAAATTATGGATTAATTTTGTTCTGTATCTATTGTAAAATTCAATATGACTATGAAGTGAATTAATATACGATAAAAATTGGTCGAGTTGCCTGTTAGTTCCTGTGAAACATACCAGTACGTCGTCTTCAAACAGTTTTTATATTGGTGGACATACGTAGACGACGTACTGGTATGTTTCACAGGAACTAACAGGCAACTCGACCAATTTTTATCGTATATTAATTCACTTCATAGCAGTAAACAACGGATACAACGAACAAACAATTAATAAAATGTTAAATCAAAAACTACACAAGAAAGCCCTGAAATTAGTATTTCCATCACCAGAGAAAAAACCCAGTATCTTCTGCTCGATTACATATAAAGGCAAAATAACAACAAAAATTGCCAAACTTATAAAAAAGCAAGGAATAACACCAGCCTTCCGAACAAATAACAACCTAGGCAAATATATTAAAAATAACAAGAGCCAAAATACCAAACACTTAAATAGTGGTGTGTACAAACTTCAATGTAGCGACTGCCCAAAAACTTACATTGGTCAAACTGGTAGAAACTTTGATAAACGAATAGCAGAACATAAAAGGGCTTTCAAGAATAGAAAAACAGATTCGACATACGCACTTCACCTTCTAGATCATAATCATTCTTTCAGTGACAAATTTAAAATTCTTCACATTCAAAATAAAGGCCTTAAGCTATCTTTTTTAGAATCTATGGAAATCAACAAATTAAAAAAACACAGATAAAATTCTGAATGACCAACTTGAGACAAACAGTTCTCCCCTCCTCAACCTATTGCATTAGAGACTATACATTTGTAAACCCAAGCCAAAAATAGATCACTTGAGAAAGGCAACCAGCCGAAACAGCTGTAGTGATAAGATTTAAAATAAATTTTGTGGAAGTTTGAAAACAAAGTTTTAGTGTTTTATTGTTACAATATTTTTTTATATTATTTTTAGGCATATATTGAAAACTATTCAACCGATTTAAGTGAAATTTGGTATCTTGATATTATCTAGTAAGCTTAATATAAAAATGATATTAGTTTTATCATTGACACTGCGGTCTGTGGTCAGAGTGGGAAGTCAGCAGCGCGCGGTTTATTCAACATGTATGATACCGACAAACGCACTAACAATATAAGCCACCAGCCTCAGTATAGTAATACCAATCATCGATCGTTTACTGCTATCGGTGGAGATAGCTCAAAACCTTCAACAAATACGCGTGTTTAGACGCTGCAAGTTCACTGTATTCCGCCAACTCTAGTGATGTTATAAAATGATATACATATATAAATATTTGACATTAAAATATCTCGCTTCCGCAGAATTGTGCTACGTGACCTCGTTATTGTGCTAAGCGACCCCATTTGGGGCCGCGACTTATAGTTTAAGAAGCCCTGATATATAGAGAAGTGATGAAGATCTAAGATATCATGGCTGCGCAACCTGAGAAAGTATACCCGTACATGACATACCCTGTACAAAAAATTTTTGTTGACAAAAATACGCTACTAAAGAATTGACACATCTGATCTTTTTTTGAACATCTATTTATTTTTATATATGTTTTGTTTCATTTGGCTATTTGGCTGATACACACTGTATATAAATTTGGCAGTGTGTGTCTCAACATATCAGATATATACAAATAAAATTAATATGTTTAAAAAATTCTAATTATTATAGTCTGAAAGTTGTTAAACTAAGATGCCCCAGATAAGAAACTTCGAAAAAATAAAAAAGTTTCATGCCACTCAAATAGTGAAAGTTCTTTTAATTAACAAACACAATGTCCTCAGCGTGGATTAGCTCCATTCAGAACACGTACTTTCGTAAAAATCTCGCCGATTGAAGTGTCGGGAAAACTACTGGTTTTCATGGTGCGGAAAATGGGAAAGGTTGCGCCATTGTCAGTAATTGAACACATATCCAAGTTTCAGTTAGCCGAGTAAGGGCCAGCGTAATGCGAAGGTAGTTTTCATTAGCTGGAAATTTTCTGCGCTAATTGAGTGTTGTTTCTTGGTGAGATTTAGAACAAAAGCCTGGAAAGTAATCCGGCTGCTTAATAATAAGCCAAGGTATACATCTACTCTCTGTATAATTAATGTTTATTCCCATTTGCAGACCTAATGAAACATTTTATTTAATCTGCTAATGCCTGACCTCGGTCTGAATAGCTTAACAAAAGAAACCCGCTCTTATATTCGTACAAAAATATACATTTTAAAATGATAAAATGAAACATTTTCTTTATAGCCAGATATTTTCTATTTGTTATATTCTTTGAAATTGCTCTGGTATAATGGATATTGTTTTGTATTTGAATGTTGTATAATGTAGAAATTATTTCAAAGCTTGGGTTTATTTCATTTAACAGAAACATTGGAAGAGAATAACAAGAGGGTATGTTTCCCAAGGACAACGAAAATTTAATTAGTAAGGAATAAATAATCAGGAAATCATAAATAATTACCAACCGAAAACATATCTGCACAGCTAAACAAAGAAAACCGGTATATTTTGGTCATATGATGAGAAACAGAAAGGGAATTATGACTCTATATAATAGACTGACTTATCTGTCAGCATCTGAATTACACGCAGTAAATCCTGCTAAAAAATCAACGAGGCTTTTTCGAGCGAGTGATTTCCGGTTTAAGAAATCTTCATTTAGTAGACAACAGCTCCTAAAAGAAGAGTTAGTAAATAGTAGTGGACCTTTTTATTTTGAGACTAAGTTAATTACCTATAAGTAACGTTTTAAGTTTAGTAACCTAAGAAACCAAACGTTAAGAAATGTAGCGATTGTAGACTCATTAGTCTACACTAGCATGAGCCATGTCGTTAAAACACTGTTGCTTATTCTTCTAAACCGAATTAATAACAAGTACGAAGAAATAATTAGTCAAGAGCAGTTCGGGTTCCGGAGATACCGTGGAACTAGAGAAGCACTATTTTCTATGCAAACACTCCTTCAACGATGTTGAGAGGTAAGAAAACCCGTATATATGTGCTTCATTGATTTTGAAAAGGCATTTGATCGCGTTCAGCATACCAGACTAATTACCGCCTTGCAGAGCATCCAACTAGATGAGAAAGACATCAAACTTATTGCCAAACTTTACTGCAACCAAACAGCCATTATTAATACCAACAACAGAGAATCAAAGCCAATCACTATTAAACGAGGCATAAGACAAGGCTGTATACTATCTCCCACCCTCTTTAACGTGTATTCTGAGAATCTATTTAGGGAAGCTTTAAAAGATCAAAAAGGAATTATCATAGGAGGAGAAATAATTAACAATTTACGGTACGCCGACGATACTGTGATTCTAGCTAAAAACATTGACGATCTGCAGGAGCTAATCAATAGAGTTGACATGGAATGCACAAATTGAGGACTGTCGATAAATATCGATAAAACTAAATACATAGTGACCAGTAAAGTGGATATCGGCGCAACCCAACTAATATTAAACCAACAACCGCTGCAGATAGTTCAGAGATTCAAATACCATGGATGTTGGATTACCCAAAATCTAGATCCATCCTTCGAAATTCGATGTAGAATTGAACAGGCAAGAAACTCATTTCAAAAATTCAAGCCTCTGTTATCCAATAACTCATTAAATTTGAAAATCCGTGAAAAGTTTACAAGATGTTACGTGTGGTCTGTACTTTTGTATGGATGTGAAACTTGGACTTTAAACGCCGATATCATGAATAGAATCGAGGCGTTTGAGATGTGGTTGTATCGAAGGATACTAAAAATTCCATGGACTAGCAGAATCAGAAACGAAGAAGTTCTTCGAAGAATGGGACATCAACGAACTCTATTAAATATTATTAAGAGGCGTAAACTAGAATATCTTGGACATATAATCAGAGGACCAAGATATGAGTTCCTTCGGCTAATTCTCAACGGTAAAATCGAAGGAAAGAAATGGATAGGACGGAAGAAACTCTCTTGGTTGAGGAATTTGCGGCAATGGACATGTTTGACAGCGGACCAATTGCTACACGTAGCCCAAGACCGAGAACAGTATAATAATATTATAAGCATGGTAGTCGCCGACGTTCCGTAGGGATATGGCACTCTAAGAAGAAGAACGTTTTCAGAAGGTACAGAAATGCTACTATCAAAGTTTCTATATCATCTGGTGCGCCCAAAATCCCTTAGTTGCAAATATTAAAAAACTGAGGCTTACTACATTCAGAAAAAAAATCAGAAAACATCATTAAACGTTAGAAAACTTAAGAGCAACATAACAAGAAGCATATAGAGAACTAATACACAATAGTTTATCTAGTATGGCAACTGTTGATGATATTGACAAGTCATGAAACACTATAAAAGAATCATGTGATAA